GGTAAGATCAGTGACGTAGTTTAGGTAACTTATTTTGTATTCATATCAGCCAAAATGTTTTAAAATGTATATATTAATAGAAGTAATATAACTAGAAGTGATTATCTGCTTCAAGTATGTTTTATTGGTAAGAGAAGCAATTCTTTTAATCAAGGGCAAGTGATGACTAGATATTTTCAAAAAGTAACATATCCTTTCATATTGTCTAATATTTCTCTGAATTCTAGTCACTCGGCCATTATACCTTATGAACAAGCTTCAAGCAGATAATATGAACCTGATTTTACCCCAATCTGAAGGAGGTGACGTTTCTTCGATTAAAACAACCAGCAAAACGCCAGCCTCCCCGATCTCAGATGGCTACAGTGCTCCAACCGAATGGACGACTGATCATGAGATCTTCCGACCCACATCCACAGCTACCTACGAAAATCTACCCTCTGGTCAGATTCGCCGTGTATTCAGGCCCATTCTAGAACGTCCCCCATTGCAATCGGATGCCGCCAACTCAAAGCTGGAGTGGCAGAGGCAGCTGGAATCAACATCGCGAAGGACAAAACAAACTGACGTCAGTCTGGTCGCCAAGCACGAGATACATAGTCCCTATTGGAGGATGAGTCAAGACAGTGAAGAGTCTGTTCCGCCCCGAGGACAGAGCCGACATGAGCTTAGGCCCCAGGAGTTTCAGCCTCACGCCAGCTGGCTAAATCGGGAGAATGAGTTCGGTGGAACACAAGACTCCAGAAGGGAGGCAGAAGAAGGAAGTGAGGAAGGAGAAGGGGAGGAGACGGAAGCAGAAACGAATAGCAACAGTGACAACTACGATAAGGCAAAAGCGGAAATGATGGTCATGGCAACAGAGAATAGACGTGAGGACCTGCCGGATACAGGACAGTCTGGAGGTCAAGAGGTCGCCTGGTCGAAGATAAAACGACCGCTAATGGACAGAAGAAGAAAGTGGCCTGCATTTCCTAAGCCAAGTGGCCACGAGCCCTCTGGACAGAGTGGCTCCTCGCCTCAAACGCATTCCAGCAGTCGAGCAGACAATTCTATGGCTGAAGAGATGGTGTATGCTTTGGTCAACGACACGGTGCGTTTGACCTGTCGCCCTGGAGAGGGAAGATGGATGAGTATGCCTGGGCAAACAGGACGTCCTATTCAAAGACAATTACGCGCGAGCGAAGATAAAAAAATATGCAAAGTGAGTAAAAAATGGGCCCCTTATAGTCTTGTATCCTGGCGACCAAGATTAATCCTTTCGGAATGTACAGACAACTCTTGATCTACACTCAATGAGCATGCAAAAGTGATGACTGAACAACTAGTTTTTAAATAAAAATTGGTTGAGGCCAGCCCAAATAAGTGAGATAAAAGGGTCCATATCCGAAGTAGCACTAAATATAATACTTTAGCTTGGCTAGTCTGTAAAATGTATCCATCTCAAATGTAGGTATTCGACCAGACTACATCATTCTGCTATGATGCAATATAAGTCCGAGGGGATTTATTCACACTATTTCTTTCAAGGCAATAAGGCACTGCTAGCTAAACTTTCCACACAAGGATATGAGTATGCGTAGTGGTTAACGTGCCGAGATCACATGACGCATTGTCGTGGTTCGTGTCTCGTTGGGGGTGTTGATAAGATGTAGGCAAGGTTAAAACTTCAGTCCACCATGGGTAAAAATAACTTTTGCTAAGCAAAGATATATGACATTCAATATAACTGTAAGGTATACTCATATCATTGTGGGAAATTTCTATTGCCAGTCCTTCATCACCTTAAAAGAAGTAGGATGAATACATTGAAGCCTTATAAAAATGAAAAACATCAAGCCTTATTGCAATCAGCCTGATAGTCCTAACTACTAAATAACCCTTGTAAGTAGTCTGTACAAAAATAGTACAACTAGTTGGACTATAGAAAATAAGGTATTGAAATCGACCGTCTTGTTTTCTACAAAAAGGGGGACTCGATTATGAGTAACGAAAATGTATATGCTACATACTAATAGTGTTTCACCTACAAAAAGACACAATTTTAACCAATTTTTTGTTACTAAGGTTAATATTAATAGGCATACAATATTAATAAATCATATGTGAATAGTGATTTGTTTTCGAGTTATATCTTATTTTCTCATAGCATCTCAGTGTTGCCTTACATTTCATATTGAGTGAAGTGTGCGAAATACTTGCTGTGTATACGTAATAATAAAACCAATTAATTTCTGATACAATACCAATTAATAATGGTGTACATTTGCGTGTCTGCATGTGCGAGCACAGGACTATAAAGCGATAGCTTCGAGCAATCGGGACAACTAAGAAACATCTGGCTTTAAGTCGTCAAAGCCTAATTACTTATCATTTTTGGCCGAAGAATATTCAGAACTACCAAAAAGCGATTCCAGACACTCGTAATGGTAAAGTAAGAAAGCCCACTGTCTAATGCTGGTGAGATCGGCCAGCGAATCTCTCTTTTTAGGAAATGAAAGTTACTTTAACATTATCACTTCAATCCCTATTAATCTGTCAGACTTTAAAGTCGAATCTGACTTAACTAGCATGAACTTTTTCACAGGAAGACAGACTAATCAGACAGAAACAAGCCAAGAGGTGGGCTAAAGTTAATATAAGAACATGGAAGCAAACCCATATATCATGGCTTTGCTGAGTTTATGCAAGACATTTATCCGAAAATAATAAATCAGGACTTTGGAATTTATTTACAAGTCTTCTCTTCATTCCATATAGTAAAGATGCCAAAAACGACTTAATTCGCTGTAAATACTAAACTTTATCCTCCTTTTAGCTATCCGCTAAATCAAATTGTTTCTATCCTTTATTTTTTGATCGGAAGGTGCATAAAGTCTAGTTTCAGACAGGATTTTCCAGATATATCTCTTAATATACAAGCTTCTGATTTTCTGAATGTTTAAAAGTCAAAATCGATTAGTTTTTCCTTAATTTTCTTTTAAAATTAATTTCTAGTTTGATTACTTTAGCAAATTTATTCTCTAAAACAGTATAAACGTGATTGAGTACCGGATTATTGGAGGAAATTGCTTATTTAGATGTTAAAATATCTTTACAAAGAGAACTTTTAACAATTTGTTAACTGTACCGTTCTTCACTTTTATAAGTTTCCACTTTTGATAGAACTATCTTTTGTAGGAAACTATCTCAACTTTCCTTAGAATCCATATATATAAATACCTTTCCTTTACTTTCAATCTATCAACATCTATATATATATATAGGCAAATCTAGCTTCCTCCGTTGTGGTACCATCATTTTATACACATTTTATACACGAATTGCATTTGGTGCACGGATAAAAACCTGGCTAGCTCAGAAGAGCAGTCCGGCCTGCGTATTGCACAGTGAAATTTAACGAAAATATCGGGCCTTCTCTTCTAATCATCGTTGACAGATCCAACAGTAGTACACTAAAATATCATCGTGAAATTTCCAAGACGTAACCTCTGACAACAATAAGGCTCCTTACAACTGAAAAGAACTTCGTTGCAAGCTACAAACACCGTAATACATCCTGCGCTACTGTATCCATTTGTTTCTGTACAATCGGTCGACAGACCAGGCATGTGTTAGATCTTGGCAGGCAGCTTACTGAAGCATCATGTAGTCTTGGTTGTAAGGGTGATCTTGGCTAGAATAGCCCTTAGTGATAGTGTGCATTCAGTGTCCAGCTATATCGATACCACTCCACGTTTGAGGAATCAGATGGCTGAACAGATAGAACTAAATATCATATCATAAAACAAATGGGGTTAACTTCCGTAGAACAAATAGCTGAATCGGCCAAGAAACGCCAAAGATTGTGCTCTTTTCAAATTTATCGAACTAAACAAATGTGCCAATTTTGGTTATATATGAAGATGAAAAATAGGGGAGGATACTATAATGTGAAATGGTAAGAAGGAATACGTTTATGAGATGCAAATTGCCAACTAATGAAAGTAAATATGAAGAGTGACTAGATTTCGATGACTCTTCTCAGATAACATTATTGTTGTGACTTTCATTTCGTATGAAAGTGCATGAAGAAGAGATTCAAAGGTCGATCTCATCATAAGTGGACGATTGAATCCCGTCGTACTGCAGCCGTTTGGCTTTTATACGACGTTAAAAGTGATGCAATCTACGAGAGCTCCCTCTTTTCAGATGAAAACGGGCTGAGCTTCCGTCCAGG